CAACACCTGTTCTTCCCAGAGGTTTTGTATCGTATCTAAGATTTTCCTGTGTTTTTGTTGTCTTTTCTTCCATTCTGCCTTTTGGGATTATTCTTCCCAAGAAACTGCAAACTACCCCCAGTTTAGTTTTTGTTTTCGATTCAATTCAGTTCAATTCAATTCAAGCTGTATTGTCCCATTGGGGAAATTTGTTTCACAGCACACTCCCAGCATAACATCACAAAGACGGACAACATTTTACCAACCAAGAAGTCAGTGCAACAGTGTTACAGCAAAATAAGTGAGAAGATAGTTACGATACATTGTTTGAATTGTTTTTACGTTGTTTTTTTATTGCAGTTGGGATGAAAGATTTCCTATGTCTATTAGTATTACACCTGGGGACAGAGAGGCATCTCCCAGATGGGAGAAGTGTGAACACTCAGTGGAGGGGGTGAGAGACACACTTCATAATAGACTTAGGTTTCTTTTCAACCTCTTTGTTGAGGTTGTATCCTTTGTAGAGGATATTCAAGGCAATTTGATTTGCCCACATGGATTTGCTACTTATTTTGGCAAGTCTTTCCAGCCTATTACAATCAATGGTACCAAAGTCACTTTATCAGCAAGTGAGAGTCTTTTAAGACACTTTCAATAAAAGACTTGTAGGAGAGTTGGGATGGTTCTATATATCTTGAAATAGCTTAGTTTCCTTGGAAAAAAGAGTCTCTGGTGTCCTTTTTCATAAATGGTGTCGCAGCATTTGTCCCAGCTCAGGTTTTTTCTATGACTAGTCTGAAGTCTTGTAGTCAGTGACGATTTCTACAGTCTGACCGTCACATTATTTAGGAAAGTCATTTAGAATGGGTCCATGGTGGTTTTCTGGGCCCCTTAATAAGCTGACCGCCTTATTCCCCCTCCACCTTCCCACTTGGGCCTTTACCTCTTAGTTTAGAGGAAACATGAAACCCCTCTACATCTATGAAGTGGACAGGTGCTCAAACCAAGTCGCAGATTGTCTCATTTTCAGTTCCAGATATTCTGGACCTCAGCTCCTGACCTGGACCAAGCACCAGTACTGATTGCTCCTCATTCCAAATGCACTGTCCCTTCTCTCTCGGGACGTGGGTCTCCCAAGCAGCACACCCCACACCCTCCACTCCTATTGACCCGGTTTACAGTTCTTCCATAAAATACTCCCACAAAACCCCTGCTCTACTTTAACCCATCCTCAGATCAGCTTTCTACCAAAAGGACCTCCTAAACATCTCCCTATTACCTTTGAAATCCTAAAATGGTTCTCGCTATGAAATGGCGACCATTCCCATCTGGTTGATTTGACTCTTCAAGCATCTGTCTTCCCTGATAATACAATCACTTAGCACCTCAAGACAAGCAAAGACTCATCAGTCAGGTCAGGGCGTTTACATTCACTATTTAATGCTCGAGTCTGATATCAACCCTAACAAGCCTCTTTATTCCTATTACTCCCTTCATTCGTCTTAGTCAGCCGTCTCATCCGTAGTTACTCAGCACTGGTCACTACTACCGTATTGTTATGGCTGGCTTCAGTGCTGAGCCTTTCTCTTCCAGTATTGTCACAGCACCTTCAGCAGCCAATCAAAATGCTCACTCGGTGGTCTTCCACATCTTACGCTGCATATACCCAAGTGAATCCTGCCAGTCTAACCCTTGAGCTTCCCATTAAGAATTCAGTCTTTCTGGGGCTCTTCTGGGGGCTCATCCTTACCATGAGGGTTATGTTCCCTCTGCTGGGCAAGTTACGCCAAACGAACAAGGCTGCAAAGGAACAAGTCATTTTATTTATTAAGTTTATTCCATGCTGAAAAAAAGAAGAAAGAAAAC